TTCATAAGTGCAACATCTACTAATACTCTTTTTAGGTCTCTTTTATTTTTGGCACTTTCCGCTAGAAGTTTATTAATTAAATTTCCCAGGATTCATAGAATGTGATCCTTTTTAATAATTCGTCGTAACTGTTGTGTGTTCCAGCTTCTATGAGAGGCCCTTGTACCATTGTCCAAGGAGAAGGATAAGCTATGGAAGGATCATAAGGATACTAAACTGAAGTTTGAGCATGAATATGACGAGCATGCTGAAATGCTCTGAAGTTTCCAGCAAGAAGTTGACACCCTCTCCACTTATGCATCAAAGAAAAAAGAGTATGTTTCTTACATTCTAAAACGCCTTCTATTTGCTACAGTATATTCTGATTCTGGTGTTGTGCTATTGTAACCTGAGAGCAGGAAAGTGGAAGTTTCGGCAGAATTAGACAAAAGTAAGGAGTTGTTGCGAAACCAGGATCAAGTGAAAAGAAATATTGACGACAACTTAAGTTACAGGAAATCAAAGGCTGAAGTTGATGATCTTACTCATGAGATAGACTGTATCGAAGATAAGATGAAGAACATTGGGCCATTTCAAGTTTTTGAATCTGATCTTAAAAAGCAATTGCAAGACAAGGAGAGAATTCTTTCAAGGTAATTGTCTGAGTTGTGCTCGCCCTTTAAGCTATTGCATTATTCATGTTTGTTATGAAATGGATTGAAGATGCTTTTTAGCAATTCATTCCTTCACCTACTTCAGTGGTGGGGTATGATTTTCTTTAGCGACTGCAGATATAGCAAAGCCCTTAATGTAGGAATGTTTATAGATAAGAGTATGGAGTTAGTTAATACACTGAGACGAATGAGAGTAAACATAAGTGGGGAGGGGAAAAAGTTAAGAACATAGATGGGTATAAACTTTGGTATACATGAAAGGATAATAATGGAAATGACGTAGGCATAATAATAAACAAAGATTTAAAAGATATAGTAGTTAATATCAAGAAAGTAGGTGATAGGCTCCTATTAATGAAATTTGTATTAAAAGAAACGATGGTAATTGTAATTAGTGCTTATGTACCACAAGTAGGACCAGATGATAGAATTAAGAGATAATTTTGAGAGGACATGGATGGACTAGTCCAACACATACCAAATGGAGAGCTAACCTTTTTAGGAGGGGGTTAAATTGACATGTAGGGATGAAGAGTAGAGGATATGAAGGGGTACATTGGGGATATAGGCTTGGTGAAAGAGATGAGATGGGTGAGGTTATTCTAGATTTTGTATGGCCTACGACCTAGCAATAACAAACAATTACTTTAAAAGCGAGATGAACATTTACTAACCTATAAAAGTGGATCACATGAAAGCCCGATAGACTTCTTCCTAGTTAAGAAAGTAGATCGACGATGATGTAAAGACTGTAAGGTTATCTTAGGAGAGAGTTTGACAGAGCAATATAAGCTCATGACTATGAACGTCTGCATAAAGACATGGAAGAGAAGGGGTGAAATTAATAGGTGTACAAGAACTAGGTGGTGGAAGTTAAAAAATGAGAAAATATAACTATTTAGGGATAAATTACTTAAAGAAAGAAAACTGAACTCTGAACAAGAGGTTAATGTTATGTGGAATGAGATGGCTGATTGTATTAAGAAAGTGGCAAATGAAGTTCTAAGAGAAACTAGAGGGAAGAGAAATTCCAATAAGGAAACTTGGTGGTGGCGTGATGAGGTTCAGAAGGAAATTAGCGAAAAATGATCATGTTATAAAACTTGGCAATGTAATAGAAATGATCAAAACGTAGAAAAAAATGCTAAAAAAAGTGTTAAACAAATAGTAAGGGTATACTTAAGTGATATGATAATTTTTATAGTAAACTGAAAATAAAAAAAGGTGAAAAAGATGTCTTCAAATTAGCAAAAATGAGAGAAAAAAAGTGTAGAGATCTAGACTATATTAAATGGCATTAAGAGTGAGGATCTATGAGTCTTAGTGAAGGATGAAGTCAACGAAAAGTTGAGAGTTTATTTTCAAAAATTAACTGACGAACACAATGGAAACACAGCAGTAGAAGGAACTGTTGGCAAAATGAGGGTGGGGGTCATAGATACATTCGTAGGATTAGGATATTGTAAATGAAATAAGTTTTCAAGATGATGAAGATAGGAGAAGCGTTAAGACCAAATAGTATCCCGATAGAGGTTTGGAAGTACATGGGGGCGATTGGCAATGACAGGCCGACCAAGTTGTTTAACAAGGTGTTGAGAACAAAATAAATGCTAGATGAATGAAATAAAAGTATTGTGGTACCTATTTACATGAAAAATGAGATATACAAGATATTCTGAACTATCGAAGGATCAAATGAAGTTGTGGGAGAGAGTGATTGAGCAATGACTAAGGCATGAAACAGAAAATCATTTTGGTTTTATGCCTGGGACATCAACCACTTAGGCTATTTTCCTATTCAGGAAATTGATTGAGAAGTTTAGGGCAAAGGGAAAAGACTTCCACATTTGCCTTTGATATCGAGAAAGCTTATGATAGAGTACCACGAGATTTATTTGGTGGGTGTTGGAAAATGAGTCTCCAGACACTACATTGACTTGGTGAGAGATATGTATGAAGGAGCGCTAACTATTATGCAAATAACTAGTGGAGAGACGAGTGAGTTTTCAGTGACAATAAGTCTACAACAGGGGTCAACATTGAGCACATATCTCTTTATCTTAAGTATGGACAACTTAATTAGGCACCTACAAGATGAAGTACCATGGTGTATGTTGTTCCTGGACTGTAAGTATGGCAATTTGTTTCTACATTTCAGTTGTGTCTAGGTAGTAGAGAGAAATCCATCCATACTGCTGTTGAGGATTCGTACTTTGTGGGTGGGCCACCAAAAGCTCACTGGTTATAGATGAAACATTGCTACACCTCAAATATGTCAAAGAAAATGGACTTTGGATGTATGGGCCACTCATTTCGCTAACTCGGCTAATTAAGTTCATGCAAGGGAAGGTGGGCTCCCTGTCAATAATAGCCTTCTCATTTTTTCAATTATGTTTTGATAAATTTATTGTTTTGCAATCTCAGTTTTCTGAAAATTTCGTGAGGTAAACAGTAGCAAGATAAATAATAGACATTTTTTCTATAAACAAATTGTGAATACAAAATTGGCGAATTCGGATGGTCATTTCTTTGGAAACCAACTAGAATGTATTTCCTCCTAGTCCATCTACCAGTCCTTCTCACTGCCTTTGAAAATAATATCGACATAATCACATTCACTTGAGGTCATTGTAACTTGCAATTCCAATATCCTTGGGCCAATGGCTAGGTCTACTGCACACAAAGCAGTTTTCTCTCTTTCGTTTCAGCTTCTATTCTCAAACTTATTACAGATCTTACTGTAAATTATATAACCATGAATTAAATTTTTTCCTGAAACATGTGCTTTGGACGCATATTTTCCTCCTTATCTTAGAATCTAGTATTTCTTTCAATTTGAAGATGTCGCATGAGTTCTTCAGAAGCCATACATTTTCTATGATGCTTCAACATACTACGTTTTCTTTCCAAAATGCAGATAACTTCCTAATTATTCTAGACACTAGGGAAAGTGGAAAACTTCTAACTCCATTCCTCAACACTGAATTCGATTGATAATGAATAGTGACTTGTGAACTCATGCAAGATCAGCTCATCTTTAGTGATTTCAGGGGATACTTCGTGTTAACTTCATCATCAATCTTATGTCTTTTCAAGCGTTCCCCATGATCCTTTAGCAGTAGGAGTCAACCATCCATCAAAGTATGCAGAATATTTCCATGACATCAGTAACCATCCTACGTCTCAAAAGAAAAGGAACATATAACCATCATCTTCCCACCTTCTCTGCTTCCATATGCACATCAGTTTCTCTCTCAGATTGAGACACTTCCATGGCACCAAAAGATTGACACTATTCAGCCACGACACAAGCCACATTGACTCCGATGAAGTGAAAGTGTATTTATTGTTGTCACCACTTGATCAATAATCTAACTTGGCAAGGTCCTGATTCATGAATTTGAGCAATGACAGTGCCATTTGATTGTAGTAACTGTTGGAGCAAAACACTTCCGTGGCAAAAATTAAAAAAGGTAAGAGATGATGTTCTATCTAGACATAGAGGCATGTGATAGAGGCCTCTTTAAGACAATCAATGATCCCATTTCAATATCTTTCTCTAGTCAAATAGGATTACCAAAAGACTTGTCGCTAGGGTTCAATAGTGCTTGTCAAACACAGTATGATAACTTTTGAACTGTACTCTCATTAGGTGGCTCCCCATAAAAAGTAGATCAGTGATTTGCCTAGTAATGAGAAAAATGAATAGAGAAGATAATTATGTGGCAAATCACCAACACAAATTAAGAGAGCTAAGAGAAAACTACATCATAGCATGGATGGGATCACCTTTGAGCCACAAGTCATGAAGCTAGAGAATTTAACTATCACTATAACATATCAAAAAAGCACGTACTTATAGAACATCAAATCAGTTTGAATTATATGTAGGTAATGTGGAGAAGACCAATATCCACATAAAATTGCCGATTTGAAAGAGAATATCAATTGCCATTTCCCAATGAATTCAAAAGGCAATATTAACCATCAAGCTCAGCAAGAAGCCAATATTTTTATCACATTACAAAATTCCATTTTGAAAGGAAATCAAGACATGTAAGGTCGTATTTTCCAACATAACATTCACATGTAACTTCTAAGAATGTAAATACACCCACATAATCCTAATTTTTACCAAATTTATGCATTTACCAATTGTAGAGCTATTCTCTGAACTATTTATAAACATTCATAGAAAACTCATAAGTAAATGGGAAAAAAAAAAGCTTTATGAAACCCAAACATCAAGTCCTCAGCTAGACAAGCAGGCTCTGTAGCATAATTCAAGCTCCATTGAAAATCAAAAGAATAAATCCAAGCGCCCATTCTAGAGTTTGTTTTAGTTACCATTTGGCGTATCTTCCATAACCTGAATCTTTGGGTTGTTCTGGGTTTTCACAATCGCATCCTGTAGCCTCTGCATAAAAATATTCAAGTAGCTCCAATTCAGAAAACAACAATTACAGGAGAAAGAGAGAGAGAGAGAGGTAATAACATCTAACCTGAATGGCATTTCCTGAATCAGTTTCGGGAATCACCCAGGGAAAAGCAAACTGCGAGGACTTAGGGTTCGTTGATATGCAACCAGGGTTGGTAGAAGGGCATGGGCGTATCTTGCTGAAACCATGAAGACCAACAATACCCAGAATCAATGTCACAAAAAGAAACAAAACGTGGAAACAAAGAGAGGTATATAGATAGAGAGAGAGAGACAGGACGAGAGAATTAAAAAAAATGTGGAGAGAGAGAGAGAGAACCCATTTGAAAGAATCTGGAAAAGAAGAGAGATAACCCATTTGAAAGAAGGTAGAAAAGAAGAGAGCGATAACCCATTTGAAAGAATGGGGAAAAGAAGAGAGAAAGAGAGAGAGAGAGTACCCATTTTCGAGACCAATCTGTAGAAACTGAGATTGGGAAAAGGGAGTGGAAGGAAAGAGAGAGGGTGACTGAGAATTCAGGGATGGGATTGCAGAGGATGGCAATGGAAAAGATAGAGAGAGAAATATAGCAAATGAAGATAAATATGCGGAGAGGGAATATGGGGTGTTCTTTGCATTTGGGAAATGCGGTGAATTTAAGACCGCAGCGGCGATGGGCTTAGGTCGAAAAGTTTGAGAGAGAACGGAGCTGGCAATGGCCAATGTTGACATCACTAATTAACAAATTCAAGAGAGAGAGAGCTTCAATCGAATCCAGACTTCTCAACGGGGAGGAAGGTCTTCAATTTGACGAGGGTTTATCTACTTCCGTACATTAATGGGACCTTTGGGACTGTAAAGATGTGCAAGTCTTTGCCTCGCATATATTGGTTAGGTGTATTTTTGGAGCTCATATTCATGATATCTACATTCTCAAATATAAGAATGAGCAAATATAAGAATTTGGGAAACCTAGGTTTTGCATGGTGGGGCACATGCTTCCGCTCCTTTTTTTTTTTCTTTCTTACTCTAATAATGATATTATTTTATAGTCATAATATTTTATATTTATATTTATATTTACTATTATTAATTCATTGACACGTAAGAAAAGCACTCCCATGAATTTTTTACATATGCATATGCATAAATATTTGTGATTATTTACTGAACTTTAACAAACCAGTAAAACTCTAATAAAAATACAAATTTCTTGGAGATATTTTTATACATTAATTTGTTGGGAAAAAAATGGGGTTTATTTTGTACAGATCAATAAAATATTTGTGTTGCATTGACGTTGATTCAATTGCTTTCCGATTGTACAGATCATTGTCCTTGCCGATTTTGATTCATTAATTTGTTGGGCAGATATTTGGATTTCTTTTTGTATTGATCATTTTCCTTGCCGATTTGTTGGAGATAATTTGATTTTTTTGGATAATTATATGCATTACCATTACTGTACAACCTTTCCTTTGCTCTTAATATATGTTCAATGTGTGGCAACCTGGGTTGAAATAATTGCTTAACAAACTTTGAAAATGCTTATGCCGTGAGGAATATATTATCTTTAGAAATAATTTAATCCAGAACTATTTCATATCTATCTTTATTTTCTATATGGTGTCTTTATCCATTGGAATTCATTTCCCAGTACCTTCCATTGTGTTTGCATTTCGATTTAATGGAAAGTTCTGGTATCTTGGAACCTAAATATATATTTTTGTTATTGTCTTTGTTAGCATGTTGTGAATGATCTATTCTCGAAATAATTCTAAAGAGAGAAGAAGCAGTCAATGTAGAGGGTTGTGGAGTGTATAAACTAGAAAGTGTAAATATGAGTTTTTGATGTGTATTTGTCGGAGGGAATATGTCCATAAGCTGATCATATTGCAATTTTCTTTTGGGTTGATTGGGATTCAGTAATTATAGTACATACACTGCCTCCTGATTGCTACCCTGGAGGTCCACAGGGTCCAACTTTTCTACACTTGCACAAACAATGTTCATCATTTAGGATTTGGCAAGGGGAGGGTATGTACATATTCAATTTCCCTCTAGCACTTGAAACATGTGTTTAACATCTTCTCTCATTGTTTAACATCTGGAGAAGAAAGATATGCCAATTAATGAGAAATCTCATTAGTTGAATGATTGATTGGCCACTGAGTGAGCAACAAAAAGAAATTGTTCACATATGCAGATTGGATCCTCTTATGTCCATCCGGCCAGGCAATATAAACCATGTTCTGGTCCCCGTCAACACATAGAGGTTTAGATGTGAAACAAATGCACTGCATTTCAATATAGAAACACGTCAAATGACCTTGACTCTGTATGAGACATTATGCTTGGTGGTGGATGGTGAGCCCGTTACATGTTGACCTATCCCTAATTACGACAAGTATATAAAACCTCACTGGGACTGATACTTGATGAATATAATCTGACTTCTATCAAGCACATCTGGCTGAAGAACAAATTTAAACAAATACCAAATGATACAACCGCAACACAAGTTGCAAGGCACAACAGGGCGTACTTGATATTCCTCATCAACATTACTATTTTCTCCGACTCATTTCAGTCAACAGTGCCCACAAGGTATCTATAGTTCTTTGAGAGTTTCAAAGAAGTGGGCCTGTATTCTTCTGGTATTGCAGTCCTAGCATACTTGTATCGGTCTCTCGCAAAGTCTGCCACTTTTAAGCATAGACACTTTAGTGGCTCGCCTACACTTATTAAGGTAAGTCATATATTGTAGATTTAGCTAATTTTTTAAAAATCATATACCTTATAGGAGGTAGTGCCCTATGGACTAAGTTAAAATCTAATATTGTGTAGTGTTGGCCTTGTGAGCATATTATATACGAGACTCATATTAAAGCATATACCTTCGGGAGAGCCTATATTTATAAGATGGAAGCCACCAAAGAGATATTGTGGAAACCCGTAGAATAAAGTTCCTCCTATACTCTAGGAGTTTAATAACTTCAATCCTAATGAGGGTAGAGTAACCTCAATTTATTTTTATGTTATTTTTACTTATTTATTGCTTGTTATATTTATAAATGCTACTTTAATATTGTGTGACAGGTAATTTGGAATCCATATTTTAAGCCAGGTGAACACATTAGTGAGAAAAGGGCGAACACATTGAATTATGCAATGTGCATTATGGTGTTCATATTCGACAATATACTTGAGCCATATATATCGGCCCATGTGTGTTGACAAATTTGGAACAAGGCATGGCATGCCAAGGAATCCCTGTCTACTTGGAAGGAGGAATAGAAGGTAAAGGGGTAAAGAGATTGGAGGTTGGTTATTGGTGAGAGTATTCGAGGCTGGGAGAATCGAAGTTATTGTATACCACAAAATTGACCAAATGATGACGACAACCATTTGCATTATCAAAATATTGGCCAGTTTGCAGGACAACCTCATTGCCATCTCCTCTATATGGGCTCTCCAATGATTTGATTTTCTCCATATCACATTCTAGTACAAGCTCGGCCATGGTTTGGACGGGCACAAGTTCATTGCCATCAATCTGATCAGGTATTGGAGCATTGAAGCGACTGCCAACAAAAGACAAAGTCTTATATACAATTGTGTTGAGCACGTAATAAATATTTATGAACATGAACGATTCAAGCAAACTAAAACTCAAAGTTTGATAAAAGTATAGGCACATGCTCCTCGCCGATGAACCTTCACCTTGAGGTTGTGCAGGTGGAAATTCTTAGACTCCAGCTCAGATCCAATATATAAAACAATATTAGAAGACTCTTCTTTCAATATATAGCATACATCTAGGCCATCACATATTTATATATCAATTCACATCCACTCGTTAGGCTTGTATTGTGATGAAATGAGTTTTCACTCCAAAGAATTACTTCCATAAGTATGTCGATATAGAACAAGTCTGTCGGTACAGAACAAGTATGTCGGTAGAGTTATTCTCAAAAGACCCTCCAAAACGGAATACCAATGGCACACCCTTTAGTAGTTATTATGGACAATTTTGTATTACATGAATGACAATGGAGTAGTAATAAAACAAATAATTAATAAAAGCCCACTTCCAAATAGACATAAAAAAAAAAAAAGTAGTGGAAAAATACATGATCCCCAACTTCTTCATCAACCTTACTCAAGAATCAAACATTAGCTAAAAAATTTCCTCTTTCTTCATCAACCTTACACAAGAATCAAACATTAGCTAAAAAATTTCCTCTCTTCATGGTTATCGATTGTGAGCGTCTTACAAGTGAAGGTCCAAAGCAATCACCTATTCTGTTTGATGATAGGTCTAGTGGTTCACAACTTCCAAGTTCTGTACTCTTAAAATCACAAAATTCCACCTTAAACTGCGGGAGTATAAATGATCTTGTTGGAGCTTTGTAGGCTTAACCACTCGAAAACATGACTCTTTTATTCAATATCTGATCTTTCTTTGAAAATAATCATTTGAGGATATGCTGTGGATCTAAAAATTTCGAAAAGAAAAACTTTGCTGGAGGGAATAAGTGTACAATGTGCATATTAAGGAGCATAAGGAGAAGTTAAAATGTAAATTATGATTCAATGATTTCCTTTCCACTTTCTCTAGAGCAATTTTTTTTCCTCATTTTTGGGGTCAACTTTACAATCCCAGTTGGTTAATAATATGAAGTGCACGTAAAACAAATTTTTGTTTTCAAGTGCGCCTTATTTCTATAGTACAAAATTGAAACCTTATATAAACTTTTTCTCTCAATAAAAGCCGCACCTCTCTCTCCTCTTTCTAATCCGAATAAACTTTGCATTTTTAGTAGTGTCTACGGACTCTGGAAATTATGCTGGGAGACACAAGCACCCTTTTAAGTGTTTCAAATTGGAATGGAAAAAACATGAATGACCACGATGCGGTATAATTATTTAAATTTTATTTTTCTGCTTATTAAATGGACAAAGAATTGTGAAGATATTCGTGCCACGGCACCTAAAAGAATAAAAAAGAAATAATTTATTAATACTAAATTGGCTAAAGTACCACTTAATGTTTTACGTAAATTTTGATAAATTTATTTTTTATGAATTTATATGTATTTTTGGAATGGACATTCAAAAATTCAAACTAATTGTGCTGTAGAAAATAGTTGAATATATACTATTACAAACAATCCTAATACTCCGTTTTCGTTTCCTTTAACATGGAACTCGTGCACTTTGAGGCTCCAATACGCTATACTTTTCCTTTCGGAATTGACGCCCGAGGGGACACAAAGAGCTAAACAGCATCATAGAAAGAGGGGTCATTCCATTACTACTTTCAAGATTCTTGTTTAAAGACAAACCAGCTTTAAACATCACGTATTTTAATATCTTTAAAAGTGGAAGTTTCCACTTTCAAATTCCTCCGTATCTATACAAACTGCACCCAAATACTCACTTAATATGCGTTTGGTTTTTTGAAAGATATTTTTTTGGGAAGTTAAATGTTTTTAAATCTTTTAGAAAGTTGAATGTTTTGTTTTTAAATCTTTTAGAAAGTTGAATGTTTTGTTCTGACGTCTGAAAATAAGTTCTGGGTACTTTGTTTGATAGCATATACATATTAACGATACAAATATAAATATATAACATATATAACATAATATAATATATAATACAATATATTTTATTAATGTATATTTATATTATATATAATATATAATATTTTATATATATTTTTAAATGTTTATTTATATTATATATAACATATAATATAATATAAAATAAGATATATATATATATATATATTATATATAATATAATAATATAAATATTATATACAAATATAAATATCTTATACTATACTATATATTTTATATAATGTATATAATATATAGTTGTTATTTATTAATATAATATATAATATATAACATATAATATATTATATAA